AAATACAGGGGGGCTGGTGCAGGAAAGAAGTGCGATCCCATCCCAGTAAGCTGTCCACACGCCTCCCTCCCGCTCCTCTTTTCTGCTGCTCCAGAGGCGAATATATTTCCAGCAGGCAGCTACACACTGGTTTTAAGCCTCATAAGCAGCAGTATGTTGCTGGCCTGACATGTCAGACTTTTAAATGACCTTTGTACCGAGAACAGCGTTACCAAGCTGCTAAGAACAGGGGGGAAAAAAAGTCGGTTTCCATGATTAAGAGAGGTACATTCTGGCTGTTTGCATTTATTTTAGTTCAAAAAAAAAAAAAAACAACCCACCTGTCAGTAAACCAAGCCATAAAAAAAAAAAGAGCACAATTCTATCTGAAGGGCAGCTGTGACGGCATCAGCACTGTTAGCCGTTCTTAACGTTGTACTTATCACACAAGGTAAACAGGAGTGACTATCAGTTAATGAACAACACAACCCTAAGGCTGAATTTTAAAGAGTGTTTTCTCTACTGCAATCTTTTAATGAAAATACAGCAATTCTAACTCACCGAATTCGCTTATGAAAGTCTAATTTATTTTAGGACATATTAAGACACCAGGGCTGATTCACTCGCTTATGTGCTCATAAGATGGCTTAAACGAGCTGCTGAAACATCAGTATGATCCTTATCTTCCACACAGCTTTACTACGTTTCTTGCAAGAGAAAAGTATAGAAAGGCAATTTAGAGATCAGATTGACTAACTCGTTCAACCATCCCAGAACAAATCTCACCTAACACACACACTGCTGAGCCTAGGAAAACAAGCCCGGACCAGTTTTCTCCTTGTGCCCAACTATATCCTATTGACACTTAAAGGGAAGCGTAATTACTAGTCTGCCGAAGTTCTACTTAAGAGAATCCTCAAACGTTCCTCACGGAGTCAGAGCCAGCCCTGCTGGAAGAGGCTACGATAAATCAAAGTCAGCAGAGCCGGAATACTAAAGGAATCCCAGAGAAATCCAACCGCCAACACCCCACGAGCCAGATCAACCTCAAAAACTAAAGCAAGATGCTCAGACGCAGCTTCTTTTGGCTTTCAGGCAAACAGAGGTGCTCTAACGCTGAACGGGACTCTGGGAACACAATCCACCAGCAACTCAGTATTCAGCAGGGATGCCACCGAGTCACTGAAATTCCCTACCATCTCACTATCCTCATGGGGAGCTAGTGATAAAGTAATCACAAATGCCAGGGTTTTTTCCATCAGCAAGACAAGCTGCCCACAAAAAATCCAGCTGAAAGTATTGAACAAGACAACCCCACTAGATTTTCTACCACGTTATAACCTCAGCACGTTACATACCCTCTGCTAACACAGTGCTGCCAACAGCCTCCTCGCAAACACCATCTTCCAGGGGTGCTTGCCTTCTGCGATAGAACAGTGAAGGCAGATGCCCGAAGAAGCCACTACCGAGTTAAACGAGGTACTCCCTTTCCTTCAGCGAGAAGCACAGAACCCGCACTGTTTCAGCTACGTCTTTATTTGCACTGCCAGGCTGGTTGGTAACAAACCTGCTCCAAAAATAAAGCGACAAGCAGTAAAAGAACGAACGTACTCTTCTAAACTGGCAAAAATCTACCTCCAAAAAAAAACGTCAGATGTTTCTTTGCTCCCCGCAAGGACACCTGTGAAAGTTCAGGTTACAACAAATTCCAAAAATGAACATGAAAAATTTTCAGATAAGAACAGTAAAAACATACCACCCCTGCTGACTAAACAGAGATCGACCACAGAGCTGCAAAAAGACTCCCTGGGTCCAAGCTCAAAAGCCCCGAGAGATTTCATACATTAAGACAGAGAATCTCTCTTGCCTGACAGAGTGAGTCGAGGCAGTTAATCTAATTCATACATGCAAAAGAAGCGGTACGGCCACTGAGCTGGCACTTAATTGTCTGACCAGAATTTTTGGTCTAAATATAACATTCTGCCCAAGTTCTAGTTAGCTGAGACGTTTTGCTTTCTTAACTGAGCCCATCTGAGGTTAGAATAAAAGTGCGTTTCTTCCTGCTGTCAGCGTCCGTAAATTTAGTCTTAATGACAAGTAAAAGGCCTTTATATTGAGTTAAATGGCCTTAATTGTATGAGAGGCTAAGACTTGCAGCAAGATGCAGGCAGCACCTACATTAGATACATCTCCAGTGCAAATGACTGCAGAGATTCAGTAGGAAGGTCATGGAAACACGCCTGACACTACAATATCAAACCTTCTAGGTAATAAATCTGTTTTTTTTCCCTTCGTGTTGAGAAACCCAAAAAGAAAGGGTTCTAGATTTTAATGCAGTAATCGCCACTGTACCATTTTAATGCATTAAGATCAAAGTCCTTAAACGATCCATAAATGATTTCAGAATCACACCTCTAGAAAAATATTTGCAATTGGTTCTAAACATCACTACATTCCACGTCAACTAAAGTGCATATTTCAAACAGATCTAAGATATCCCATTTACATTCCTAAAGGTTAAGTATGTTTTACTTTATCCATTACTACCTCCCATTTCCACATTTCTAAAGATTAAACAAAAAGCCGCTTCCTTAGCAAAGCTGTGTGTTTCAGGACTCTCCATCAGCACAGGTCTGCTCCTAGACTCCAGGCTGGGAGAACTGGTTTATTACAATACACTTGCTTGGCTGCATCATTCTCCTTTAGAAAACCACATTTTATTTCTGGAATAAAGACCAGGATTGGTAGCCACCCATTACATGTGTCAGACCATCTCTGAGGGGCGTAGGACCTAGGAGCTTTCAGAAACCACATGGTAGCCATCCTCACCTCTTCAGCGGCATCAGGGAACGTGGAGCCCACCAAGGCAGGAAGCCTTTCAGATCTCACAGCAGGAAAAGCAAACAGGAGAAGTACCAGCAACTTCTCTACCAAGAAAACCTGGCCATGAAAAGCACGTAAGTACACAGGTAACTAAAGGTTCTTTTTATTATTGAATACCTATCGGGAGAGAAGGAAGCAGAGCTTGTGGACAGGACCACCACGCTCCCATCAAAAGACGGCTGCCCTGGCAAGCACGCAGAGGGGAAACAGCAAGCAATGTCGCTGTCACAGGTGTCATTGAAAGCACTTTTCAAAAGAAATTGGTCAGCAGAGCTCCTACGCACTTCTTAAGAGACTATTTATGGGAGCAGAAGTTGTTCTTAATTCTGCGAGAAGCAGCAGCAGAGGTCACGGTTCAGGCTTCACCGGCTCTGACGGCTGAATGCCCCTGGAACCGTGAACAGGTGCCATCAGTATTTTCAAAAATCTATTTTAATGACATAGGAACTATCATTTCAGAGCAAAGTCCTGCTCGGCCCAGTCTGTCGTCAGCAGCACCCACATCAGAGGCTGCTGAAGGAAATGAAGAAACCCTGTGACAGAAGGCTGCTCCACTCTCTGACCCACGTCAACTTCTTCCCAGCTCCAGTCATTTTATAGCAGTTTCATTCTGAATCACGAGTTTACGCCTTCGTTTTGGGACAGCGTGCTAAAGCCCCGCAAGTCAGGGAGTTAATGAGTTGCTGCGACCTAATCAGGCCTGCCACACCACACCTCCGGCAAGTGTCAGACGCACAGGGAACAACTTCAAAGGACCAGCAGACCTTACGCTCTCCCTGTGAGCGAGGGCTGCTCCCTTCTCCAGCCTCCTGGTGGAAAGGTGAGCCCAGCGAGAGCCTGACTGATTTGCCTTATATGGCTTCCAAGGCACAATTTCCGCTTGCCCAAGCTCAGGCAGGGTGGAAAAATTTGCTTCCTTGCTACTCCGCCCATCTCAGGCTCTGAAAAGCATCCACTGAATCCTGGATCTGAAAGGAATGGAAGAATTTACACTGACGTTTGCATGGAGCTCAGCTCCCTGGAAGAGGTAAAGCCACAGCTTTGGCAACAAGCTGGATCACCTCAAATACCAGGGGAGAAACGGGAGCCGAAGAGCCGATAGGCAGGCAGAGATGCATAGAGAAGTTCTAACCACAGCCTTTATTCTTTGCATACCATATGACCAATTTTTCTTGGTATTCAGATGCACTTAAGCCTTTTAAATTTCATGGCAGCAAGCTTTACAAGTTAATTATGAGTTGGGAACATTATTTCCTTTCACCGATTTATCCATAATACACTTTACTATACACCAGGAGTTTTGTTTTCAGAATCCAATGAATACAGTCTCGGCTCAGGTTTACGCACTATTTTCTGCACAAGTCAGTACTTCCTCTGGCAGTGACTGTTAGCGTTACTGAAGCCTGTCCTACCTTCTGGTCACAGCAAGGTTAACGTAATCTAGGTCCGTGTCATTATCAACTTCTCTGAGCATCTCGGAGAAACTCTCAGACTTGCTGACCACAGAGCAACTGTCCTGCTCGCTGAAGGTAAATACAGGCACGTCCATAGCCCTGAATATCTGCGAGTGCAGGAAAGCTGCTGGCTAAAAATGAAGCACAGTAGATGCAGTCCATTAAAAGGCTGCTTCTCGCTCAACAAGCGCTCTTTCTTTGTGGATTATCAAGTTTTTTTATTTCTAAAAATGTGCCCGTGTTCACTTTTTCTAGCCTTGACTGCCTATACCCAGATCATACCTTTCTTCACAGCAGATTTTTCTCAGTGCAAGTACCCAGGGGGAGATTTATCTCCAGCCATCAGTGGTTTGTCTTTGCTTTCGTCTGCTCGTCACCAAATGGCAGAATCCAGCTCATCCACACACAGATTCTCTCAGAAGAGAGAAAAATGGTGGCACAGGAGCTTAAAAAACTAAGTTCTGCCAGTTCCCTTGATCCCTTCTTTTTGGGGACTGGGAAAGACAGAAACACAGCCCATTTGATTTTCTCATAGAAACTGGGAGCCAAAAACAACTGAAATCAGCGCCGGAGCTGGAAAGGTACAACAAAACTCACACAAACATGAAGTCTAGACACTGAAATGTGGAAATATGATTCAAATAACCACAACTGGCACATAATGTATTGATTGCAGCCCATCACAGAACAGGCCCTCAGTGGGTAAGAATATAGAAGAAAGATTAAATTAGCGTCTTCCACTTTGGTTTTAGAAAATATGGATCCTTTGAGCACAGTGATGTGGATTGAGCTAGCATTTCTTCTGTCCTGCTGGTTTTTTTGCTAGGCTTTTAAGTAACACATCTGCTCCTGCTAAATAATGACAATTAGTTTAAACTATCCTTGCAGCACTGATCCTGTATGAACAAAACTGCCACGGGTGTCAGGTGGCTGCTCTTATCAAAGCACGGCCTATCAGCTAAACTACACGGGTCTCAAAATATTTGAGTCAAGCAGTCAAGAGGATGTTTGTACTGAGGAAACCTAAATACTACAAAGGTTTAGGCGATTAGCTGTTTTTAGGAAGTTTCACGGTACTGGCTAAACCCCATCACACGAATCTAAAGCAGAAAGCTTGCGTCTACCATTGAACCCAATGGCGTGATCTGGAACGGGGGCTGAAGCTGGCAGCGCAACTCAAGCCTTTGCTCGCAGTGCTACGCACAGATCGTCCTTCAAGAGGCTGGATCCAGCCTTCTCCCCGTGATGACCTGCTTCCTTGCGGAGCAGTATGCCCCCGGACCATGCCCAGAGCCTCCCTGGGTGGCTGCAGGTTCTGTATGTAAGAAAAAAAGAGTAGAAAAAGTAAGAAAAGTGGTGGTGGTGGCTGGCCTGAAGAGACTGAAGTAAAACATCTTGGTTTTCCATGAATGCCTTGGGCTAAAGTATTCTCTCCTGCGTAACAAAGGCCAAGAAAAGTTCTGCTGCACAGAGGGAGAGCAGAGGGTTAACAGCAATCGGACTGCACCAGATCAGGGAAGACTCAAGGTGGGTGGAGGTGGGCAGCTAAGTAAAGTCATGCTTGCAAGCGGTGACCTCTTTTTGAGTTAAACAAATGCTGGTTTCTTTAAATTAAAAAAGGCACTAGTCCAATGTAAAGAAAGGAGAGACCAAGTGCATGGAGCAGTGTTTTTTCTAGACTGCCTTTTCGCTGGAGCAATGCAAAAAGGATTGGATTTTGGAAGTCTGCTTTCCCCTTGCAGCAGTGATACACGCCACCACTCTGCAAACCAACTGCTGCGGGGTTTATCATGCTCTTTATTGTATAAATTCTTGGGGGGAAAAAAAAAAGCACAAAAAAACAGTCAAAAGGCAATACTAGGTTACCATGGTGTGCAAAAGTTGACTTATGTACATGGGATGTTTCTAAGCAACATATGAGCTACTACAGAAAACTCTTCTTATCAGCAAATCCAAGCTCCTTTCCTGGATAATGCATCTAGGTCAAGCTAAGGCACGTTGAATGTAGAAGCCTAGTTTTGGTGATGTCTCCTCTGTATCCACCCCGTATAAAATATTAGCATAGTTCACGTTATCAAGCTTTTTTTTTTCATTAGCATTAAGTTCACTCCAGATAATGGTTCCTCCAGAAACAGCATTAACCTTAATTATTCAGAGGTAACTTGATCTCAACCTTCCTGACTTTACGATGCTGAGCTGATGACCACTCTTCCCCCCTCAACTTCTCCTCCGATTCCTCAAAACCCAAATAAACCCCGTCTATTACACGACCGTGTTCACAAATTAGGGTATCTGGTACAGGATCCCAGACATATGATATCTCTTCAAAGTCTACCTAAACCCGTGCAGCCACTCCATCCATTCAAATGCATTCTCTTGTGCATTAGCAGCAAAACCACCAAGTCAGCCAAAATGTATTCTTCTCCCATGGATTAGCTGGCACAAATTAGTACGAGAGTGACGCATGCAGTCTGTCCCTTCCCATTTTTCAACATGCGCAAACACCAGGGATTTGGAGACGCTTCACAAGTTTATGCTTACAAGTTACAGGCAGAACCGAGTTTAAATTGCTCAAAATGTCCAAATTGTTTAGGAGATAACATGCTCATTTACTAATGAGACCTCAAATGCTTTTTCAAACTAAACTCCCCCTCCCTTGCCAGTAATAAAGGCTCTTCTGCTATCCCAACAGAGTCGGCGCTATGCAAGTGAACTATTTCAACAGTCACCATCCCTCTGCCAAGCAACACTATGACAAAAACTAACTAAACAGGACAGAGCACTTCAGACTGGTTCAGAAAAAAAACAAACCCTGATGTTGGAGGATCACCTGTAGGCTCCACGCGAGCGCAGAAGCCGCTGGAGGCAGGACAGGCTGCCCAGGTTAGAGGTCACTGGGAGATAGATGGCTGTGAAGAGACTCGTCTGCACGCTGTGTTTGATCAGATATGCTTCAGACAGAAGTAAAAAAAAAATAAAAATAGCTTTCCTTTCTCCCTTTGCTACCGTTTAAGTGGAATTAAGAAACCAACTATAGACTACGCTGAAAAGGAGCGAGGGTTTAGTCTTGCTGGGTAATGAATACAATTGCCAGGATCCAGCTGCTAGAGCCACTGATAGGAGTGCCAAAACGCTCCTCCGCTTACATATCTTAAAAAAAATAACCTAGCCTCATAAAAATAATCTAAAGGGTTAATCTTCAAGCTTGCTTCCCCCAGTATTGCTAGAGAGCAAAAAGTTATTAACACCCAAATTCAGCTTCTCCGATTAATGGTGTCATATGATTTGCTGATAAAAAGCAGATCACGTTTGAAAAAAAAAAAAAAAAAGCACTGTCGGTCACAAGGATTCTGTCACAAACTTTCTATTTTCCCTTGGCACGTCACCAATTAGACCTACTTCTTTAGTCTGCTACCACCAGTATAAAAAAAAAAAGCATAATGGGTTTATAATTTGCCACCGAATCCCATAGCAACTGTACGTCACTTTAGATGTAAATTACAGACAATTCTTTCCCATGCAATTTGAAAACTATAGAGATGAATCTATAATTTGAGCAGATCCAAATGGTATATGGTTGAGAGAAAAAGCTACCCTAAATAATTGAAAGGAAACTGCCACAGGCCAAAACATTCCTCCTGCACAATGTTAAATGTCTCTTTGTCCCCTTCCTTCAAAGGGGAGGTGCCACATTCAGGTCAACACTGAGAACATTTAGCAGGAGTTTAGCAGTTCAGTATGTTCTGCATATCCTGTCCCATTTTTGCTGATTGCGAGGAGATGTACGTGTACAATGAGCTTCCTTTCCAGCCAGCCTCCTCTGATTCATTTAGTCATGTCACCGACTCATGTTCCCGATGTCGTAATAGCTTCAATTTTGACGGACTACAGCATCAGTGAATTAATAGGACAGGAAAAAACAGGTTACAGGAAAGGAGGAATGATGCAAAAAGCTTTACGATAATTTAATGAATTCTGATTCGAAAGCCGGATTGTTCTTCTCCTCCTGACACCTGCAAGCAGCTTTCAATTCCCAAGTCAGCATGAACACGCATTACCCTAAAGACCCTGTAATGACAGCAGGAGCCTTCATTTTGTATTTCGTGCTTTAAACAGCAAAATGAAGGCATCTGTAACAGCCTGCTCTAGAAGCAAAGTCTGAAAAAGTTCTTTCAATAAGCGGTGACTACAAGGGGTCGGTTTAACCCTAACCTTTGAGAAATAACTCCTGTCACAGTCGGTTTAAGAAGAGCACAGACGGCACAGGGAAGATGACTTGGGAAGCCACATCTATCAGACCACAGTTCCAAAATTCAGTTCAGCTCGTAGAGCACGGGGGCAACGTGCCTTGGTTATCTCAGCTTAGCCCCCAATAAATATTTGTGCATCTGCCAAAGTTCACCAGTGAATCAACCGGTGGCTTCAGTTCAAAATACTCCGTGTAACAGGGGCAGAGGGGTACAACGTGAGCAGGAGGCACCAATCCACTGCTGCATCGCGCGCCGACCGCAGCAGGGATGCTACGATCCTCTTAACGTCCTCCTAAAATCCTGAGGCCACCACGCAAGCCAGGACTAGGGCTGGCAGCCGAGTTGAGCCTGGCCTCCATCAGCTATGGTCAGGTCAACACAAAAGCTACAAATAATAGAGAAAGGTGGGTAACTGCAGTCGTTTGTTATCAAAAGACGATCCATCACTCAAGCTCACCAGCACCGCTCCTCAAGCCACAAAGAGTTTTTAAATAAATATGTGAAAGTCAGGAAATTCCCAGGTAAGGGTTCCAGGAACAGCCCTAACTCTGTTTACATGCCATCGACACCTACACCACAACAGGAGACGTACCTAACTGCCCAGTGACATTCGGGTCTGCCATGCAGCATTTTAAATCGTGCATTAAGATTTCTACTTACCCAGAACCCGCCACGACGTTGCTAAAAAAACGGGTGCGAAAAGCAAAGGATGAATGCCACAGAGGGAGACCTAGTGAGGTGTATTAGGTGCGGATAGGTACAATGTCCCACTGTCAAGGGTGAAAGGCAGGGTCCAGGATAAAGAATGAAAGAGGAAAATAAGGCAGGGGCGTGAGGAGTTCCCTTGTACCTCGACATGGGCAGCAAGAAAGCTGGAGGCAGACCAGAAGAGATGGGGAAGAGTCATGCCCTGCTTTTTTGGGGGGGTGGGAGGGCCTAAACAGAGCCTGCACGCACGCCCAAAGGGAACGCAGAAAACTGCAAGCTAATATAGAATTAGACTTCTTGGAGAACCAAGAGTTGTTTTAGGCTAACACACCAGACCGGCTCCATTTCATCAGTGGATAAATTGACTTGGGACACATTTTCCACCGCTCAGCCTTCAGCTGGGGAGCTCAGCAGTCAGCGCTCACGGTTTCACAACTGTGTGGAAGCAGTTTCAGGGGCGGCAAGTTTCACAAGGAGCAGATGGGCAACGTCTTAAAGCGTCCCCTATGAAGCCGGTGTTATTTTTAAGACTCATCTTTCTTTCAGGTGAGCGCACCCCCCCACTACTGGAGAAAGAAATCCTTTTAAGTACCGCAAGGAGCCAGCAGCCCTATGATCTGGACCTTTTCAGCAGCAGCTCCACGTTCTCCGTACGTGATACAGCAACAGCTTGCTGAAGCGTGGAGTTGGCCATCAATGCGCAGAAGCGCAGCCATTTAGTTCACCAGGACGCAGACGATTTAGTAGAGACCCAAGCGGGAGAGACTCAAGAAGACAAGTATCGTTTCTCCATAGTCCTGCTGCCTGATCCACACATGGTACAGCTCCACACCAAGAACGCAACTGCTCTGGCACAAGGGACACTAAAAACAAATGGCAGCTCGCCCGGCTGGGTGATCATTTTTGGATTATGTAATCCCAATACATTATTATTAGACCAAGAACAAACTCAAGCAAGCAACTGAAGACATTACCCTGCCTGTTCTGGCAAAGAGACAGAGACTTGTCGCAGAAATCGCACCGACGTGCTATCCCGGCGCACAGAACAGGTCAGACTGCACGCATGTTGGACTTCAGGTAACACAAACAACAGTATTGGATTCCAGGCCATTATACATATTACACAACGCTGTCGTCAGTTATACCACATTTAAAACCAAACTGAGCAGAAGAAGCCTTAGCAAATTTTTTCCATTTACCTACTGCAGACCAAAATTAAATCAGAGCCCAGACTGGACAAACACACGCTCCGAAGGTGTGTTATAAAGTTGTTTCTTGGCATCACCATAGCCAAGCGTTTCAGAGGAAGCAGAGACGTTCAACAAGCTGGAGAAACTGTTTATAGAACAAATGCAGAATGAGCATATGTGTTTAATAGCCCACTAATTGTTGCGTTATTCACTATACAAACAAGTGAGCTCTTCTGCCCTTATCCTTTCCTGCCCATTGAATCACCAGTAGCCTTTGACTATTTCTCTTTTGGGTGGCGGTGAAGGAAGCAAAGTTCATTAGTGGCCGTTGGCCACCAAACAATCTAGAGACCAGACTTCATTTAGAAAATAAACACCACTATTCATGTGTGACACGGACTCAGAATAGCTTCCCAAAATATTTAACGCAGCTGCCTGTAGTCTTCCTACTCTCCCTCCCCCAAAAGAAAAGGCTTTCCTAATATATAGGAAAGCTTTTTTTTTTTTCTTTCTTTCTTTTTCAGAGGAAAAGCTAATAACTCACTCTATCCAAGGCACTGATTCCTACTGACTTCTCATAACGCTGATAAACACTCATTAAAATATAAGTTGATAAACCCTGGTACAGTAATTACCTTCGTCCCCATACAGAGATTGCCCAATTCAGTGATGTGATGTGATGTAACCAACACCCTAAATTAAAAATAGTGTTGTGACAACATATGGTTTATCCTACAGAAGCTGGCAGGCAGGACAGTCCTAATGACAAACGGGTTAGGTTCCCAGCTTCCCCCAGCTCCCTGGCAAGGTGAGGAGACAGATACGCTCTTCGCAGGATCAGAGGCGGAAAGAAAAAAAAAAAATAAAATTACAATAAAAAGGACAGCTTTTAATCCCTCTCCGGTCCAGCCTAACGACAGATGCCGAGTATTACCATTATTCTTTATTTACGTGACTAATAAGCTCTCTGGATGCATTTCAAGGAAATATCTCGGAAAAGACAATCTGGAAATTTCAAAATACAGCCCCAGCCTGAACCCGCCCCCCCCCGGGGAGCGCAGCACCGGCCCGGGGCGGGGGGGCACACACCGGGGTGCCCCGGGGAGGCAGGGACACCCCCCGACCCGGGATGCCAGCACCGGGGGTGGACAACCCCACCCCCCCCGGGGCGATACCGCCCCCCCCCGGGGCTGGAAACCCACGTCACGTTCACGGGGGGGGCCGCACCCTCCCACCCGCACACGGC